TTATTATTATTATTATTATACTCTTTGTTTGCTCTTCCTTTAGCCTCAGCCGTACACTCCTTTGAAGATTACCTAGAGCATTGTGCTGACCATAGTTTGATAAACAGAAGAGAATGTTTCTGAGATTCCAGTTTTTTACATCTGGACCAGACTGAGCTTGACACAGGCACAGTGTGGTCAAGTCACATGACCTAAATTGGTATGTTTTACAGCGGACTCGTTGCTATTACTCCTGATTGCTATAATTTACACTGGAAAGAATGGGGGCTGTTTAACTTAAAGGACAGCGTGTCGATTCTTTCCAGTTTCATAACCGGGTGAAAGCTGAGTGTACTTTACAGAGGTTGCTGTTTTCTTTTTTCATCTGTTAATTCAATTTTAAGGTGTAGAGTACTTAACTGAGCCGACACAGTATTTAGGAGGAATGTTTCACCAACATATCCTTGGACATGCACGAATTTCGTGGGAAAATGTTTTGGGGGGAAAGTATTTCAAATGGAAACTATGTGAAAGTTTGTTTAAAACTAAGAGCAGGGAGAATCTTTATATGTAAAGGGTTGTGGAAATATGGCACAACTACACTGTCCAAGCTTATATCCTGGTTTCCCTCAAAAAAAGATGAGATCCTTCAATCAATTAGCTGCTAAATACCTAACTACTAACTAAACCCCCTCCAAATGGCTTTGGTATATAACCTGTGTTCTTGGAATGCTTTGTACCTTGTAGAACGGAAGGGCAGTGGAACAGCCACAAAGCTGTTGTGCTGCATTGACCCTCTCACTAAGGTCGTGCCATCCCAGGTGCTGGGAATGAGGTAGTAGCAGGAGGAGAAATAGCCATGTCCCTGAAGTTCTTCATCTGCTCAGGAGACATGTGTTAAGGTGAGGTCATAAATACCAGTGCTTTGTCACAGCAGGTTAGACTGATGTGTAAGAAGAGGCTGGGGCTGGCAGTCACTTTTAGCTCTCCATGTGAAACCTCGTGCTTTTGCATGTTTAAAAAGTCACATTAGCTCTTTCTTGTTCCTTTTGCGCTGATGGAGCCATAACTAGATCGTTGCACATGTTTTGGGAAGAATGTGTTGCTGATGTGCTGATCCCATTGAAAATACAAGGATAAAATGGGAAAGGAAATCCCACAGATCAAGTTGCTCTGAAGTCTGTCCAGAATGCTTTGTCACGGTGATTGGACAGAGTTTCTTTGGGAGTTGAGCACGAGGGGGCAGGGCTGAGGAGTTGCCATAATGTTTGAACCCACCGCTAGCGCCAGACCTGTTATTGCTTCATTTTGCTAAGGCAGGGCACCTGCTGTCGGCCGCAGTGGTTACACCTCTGAAACGTGTGCCAGGTGTGTGAATTTGCCTGCAGAGAAGAATTGTCGGAAAAACGCACTAGTGTGGTGTGGTACTGTGCTACCCGAGCACAGTAGTCTATCTGGCAGCCCTGATGCTAGAAAATGACTGGCCTGTACTAATTAATAGCTCGGGAGATGTTTCTATATAATCCTCTAATGCAAGCTTTGTTGCCAGAGTGACATAGAGAGGTGTGTCTGCCTTATAGAGATCGGGCTCTTTTACCTACTGCAAAATCACATCAGGATGCAGTTTCCTGTTGCTTTCAGCATTTAGTGAAAGATTCTGGCTCCGAATTCCCGGTTCTCCTTCGTCAGAGTTGATTTCTGTCGAAATTGTATGGTTGCCTCCCCCTTGTCCAGCAGGAACAGACCAGAGGGAATTCCTGCTCTGAGCTTCCGACGTTCGGTTGTCCTTGTTGGAACTCGCCCACCCCTTACAAACCCACTGGCAACCAAACGGTTAAACGATTCATGTGGTCTTCCCTGCTTTCTGGAGGAATGGCTGAGGTCAGGTCCAGACTGTAGGGCACAGAAAGTCTGGTGCAGTGAAGAGGTTTATTAGTTCAGAAGCAACAAAGGGCTGGACAGACTCTTGAGCGTGGGTGTCGGTTGGTTCATTCGGGATCATATTTCAGACAGCAGTGCTTACCTGCAGCTGGGAGCAGTAAGCAGCGCCTTGCTGGGAAAAGACAGAGATCTGCCCATAGCTGCCTGTTTCACTCCAGAGAGCTCACTGCAGCTTGCTTGATCTCATATCCCTGACGGTTCCCTGGAAAATTAACTCCTTAGTTCTTATAAAAAAAAACATTTGTAACAAGCACTTTGAAAGAACGAGAACATTTTAACATGTGCTTCTGATGAAGAGAGGAGCTAGGAATGCACCACAGCCGGCAAAGCTGATTTGACTGAGCAGGACAGAGGGCGGAGTGGAAAATATGGTTTTTGTAGTGTCATGAGAAGGGAGCTGTGCAGAGAGTGTAACATGACTACATGTGCAAGAATGAGGAGAGAAGTGCCAGCTCATTGCTATGGATTTTAACTGGAAAGCTTGGGTTGGGATAAAAAGTTTGTGCGGATAACTGATCTCTCGTCCATTCTGTCTCTTTCGCGTGGGTGTATGCGCTAGCCCTCACACGCAGCAGACCAGGGGAGGCTGCGGAGAAGGAGGGCACCGATCTGGAGCTCATTTCACCCACTCCACTTTAAGGGACTGTGCACTGGCTGAAGTGCTACATCCCACATCGGAGTTACAGGAAATTGGCAGTGATTACTGTTCCCAGCAGAGCAGCGTTTTACTACTGAGGTGGAAATGATCATTTAGGAGATTCGGCAAGCAGGAGATTTTGAACCAATTAAAAAAGGTTGGATTTAGTTTTTTTGGGGGAATCTTTTTTTTTTCCCCTCTGACAATTTTTATGAACAAACTGGATTTGATTTAGTTTCTTTGAAATAGTTTTGCAGAGACGGTGTATCCAGCGGTCTGTGGTTGGCTCTCTGGTTACTGCTGGGAGACTCCTCTTCGCAATCAAATACATGTGTACAGAATATAGACCTGCTCGACAAACAAGGGGTCCCCTGGCTTGTGACCTGAGTAGGAAAACAAACACTCCCTGAAATCTGTTAGCCAATCTCCCGGACTCCTGATTTTCTCTCGGGATTTGTTGACTCGGGCAGTGATTGCATTCGGGTAAAGCTCCCTGTTTTTTTTTTCCCCCTTCCCATCTCTCGCATTTTCCAGGGCGGGTGTGGGGGGGCTTCTCGGGATGTCAGCGAGGAGTTCCGGGGACCTGGTGCCGAAGGACATCAGCGACATCCTGGCCAGGGAGAGCAAGGCCCACAAGAGCAAGAAGCACCGCGGGGGCTCCCTGAGCCGGGCCTTCAGCTGGCTGAAGGGCAAGAAGAAGAAGAAGAGCCCCAGTGGGGCGCAGGTTCGAGGCGGAAAAGGAGGCGACGCCAAGGGCAAGCAGCACCCCCCCGGAGACCCGACAGCCAAAGGTAGGCGCAGCGAAGCTCTGGGCTGCGGTCTCAGACCGCTCCGTCCCTCCCTGCCCCACCCGCGGGTCCTGTGCGTACCTGTGCCGCCCCACCTGGGCCACCTCTTGCTCTGGGTTTAGGAAGCACCTCATTCCTGTGCAGCGCCCTGCTGCCGTTTTTGCCGAGCAAATCACCGCGTTTACAAGACCTTTCCCGCGAAGGCAATGCAGTGTGCTCCAGCAGGGCGCCTCTTCCGTACGGAGATCAATGGGACGCAGGGCCTGGCAGTGCTGATCGGAGCTTCCTGTGAGCAGCTACAGCCCTCCTTGGCCTGGTGCTGAGGAGTGCTGTGGCATGTTTGTGTGGTGAGAGCAGGTAATGTAGCCACACTGCGCCGTATTCAAAATCTTCCCTGCTTTTCAACTGGTTTCTAAGGGAGGGCATCTGCTTTACAATTGTCTGCTCTGCAGTCATCAGTTCCGATCTCTTGTCCTCCTCTCCTGGTTTACAGCAATCCACGTGTGGCCAAGTCTGGCACTTCATTCATTTATGTAATCATTTTTACGTTTTCATTTGCAAGTTGACTCTTGGAATCTGTGACGTACTGTATGCACTGATTTGGGATGAGTTGCAACCCACCTCAGTACAGCGATCAAGTAAAATGCCGATAATACCAGACTGCTTTTGAAGAGCACACCAGATTCATGCACAGCCTGGCATTTATTTGGAGTGGGAAATTTTAGGATTTTTGTTGAGGTTTGGTGACAAACAGACCTGTCCCTGATGATCATCTGGGTATCACTAAGCCATTTATTTCGGGGTTTTCACGTCCTCATCACCTCTGCTAAGATGATCAGTTTATTTGGGATTTGTACGTTGCAGCCGCCCACAGCTGGTCTTCCCAACTATTTCTAGGTGTCTTCCCATTTGAACACAGTGACGAAGTGACTGGCATTACTTTTCTGGCCATCTGCTTTTAGATAGTGTTTTATTGAGGGATGTTCTGTCACCTCTGCCTTTAACTACCTTGGAACTTCATGGACTCCCTCCAAACTGAGAATGTACTGCTGTCTCTTGACATTATTTTCAATATTATAATAATGCCTTATTTATCCACATAGGTCAGCAGAGAACTGATTGTGATTAATAATGACAACTTGGCCAGCGAAGCTAATGCCAGAGCTGCACAGAAAACAAAGCAGGACAGGAAAGAACAATCAATTCAATGCGAATGACATAACAAGAGGTGGCAGGTTTAACAAGTGCATGTGTCAGACAGAACATTTTAATGGTGATTTAATCATGTAATTAAAAATGCCCTCCACTATGAAGGTGTACACTTGCAGCTCACACTAATGGATAGCTCCCATCACTGATAGACTTAAATTGGAATAATTTGAAATGATTAGATTGGCACCCAGAGCCAGTTGCTGCCTTCAGGAAGCTTAATTTTATAACGATACACCATGTTTAATTGTAGGGCTGTATAGAAAGCTGCCATAAAAGAACAGAGTGAGGTATGTTCCCAATAACAGATATGTTCACCAAAAAGAATGCAATAGTATTACAGAGATTTGTAGACAAAGATCTGAAAGCAATATTGTCTGGATTTTGATATTGCCTCCTTGCTGATGTTTTGTTGTTTAATGCTTTAATTTTTGGTACCGTAATGAGAACCTGTTGTTGTGGCTATTAGTAGGCATCATCTCCATGGCTTTCTCCGGCCTTTAACAAATGTTTGTACATTTTAAATAGGGTTCTCTTTGAAGTGGCAGACAGCATTCACAGTCTGTATACACAGAACTCAATCAACATCTGACATCTTGTGAACTGTGTGTAGTGCTGACAGCTGTGTGCGAACTATTAATTAAACTGGTTTGTCATGAATGATGACACCTGTTTCTGTACCTTTACCACAGTAAATGGAGTTATATAAATGGAGAGCTTTGTATCTCGTTGAAAACCTGTTCTACTCAAACAAGATGTCTCACCTGAAGTGTAGAAACATTAGAGGGCCTAAGAATTTGTTTACTTTAGTAACTGGGATTTCACTTTTCCCTTTCCTTCCATCAGGTGAGCGCGGCAGCTAAAGCTCTTTGCACATGTTTATGCTGAACGTTACTTGGCTTGACTTTTTGACAGTGTTTAACATCGGCTAAAAATAACGAGGGCCTTTGCAAAAAGAAAAAAGTACTTTGGCATGCCCGCATAGTAAGCAATTAAACTGCAATTCACTTATAGAGAAACCTTTTACAGAAGTGGAGTGTAAATCGGGTGGCTAGCTGTGTTCTTAGGCCTTGTGTCCGCTTGTGCTTCGCTCTGTCCCAGGATGCCGTCTTTGTGAAGTTCGCATGATCTCCTCATGTCGCTGTTGGTGCTCCAGGATCCTCTTGCTTCCCAGAGGCATGCTAGCTGGATACTTTGTGTCGTTCTGTTCTCTGTGTGTACGAGTCCTGTACATGGCATCCCATCCACAGGGTGTGGTCCTGCCTTGCTCCCTGTGTTTCTGGGATGGGCTCCAGGCTTCTGCGTCCCTTACCAGGAATGAGCGGCTTTGCAGTAGCGTCGTACGTGAAGTTTAAATGATTTACACACGTTTCTTGTCATTTGGAATCCTGTTTGCTTTTGTTTTTTTTCCAATAATAGTTGCCACGTATTATAGATGTCAGAGCTGCCCAAACTGCATCTGAATTTTAGGGAATAACTATCTAGAAAAGATATGTTTTTTTTGGACCGGAAGGGTGTGCAGATTTAAGAGACAATGGGGGCAGAAGAGAGACAACAGTTAGTCATTTTGCAATATAATTCTGTTTAGCCTAATACTCTGTTCGGAAGTATTAAAATTGTTACCTATGCAGCTTAATCCAGTATTCCTAAAATAATGCTCAGGCGGATAAGAGCAAATTATACAATTTCACAAGCCTGCAGTTGCCGGGCATGATGTAGAGCTGTAGACAGGAATGATATGGCTTCAGTTGAAGTACTGTACATGTACATGCATTCAGCTTGGATGCCTGGTCAGGCCACTGCTTCAAGGGAGGTGCATGGGAACGTTAAGACTAAATTAAGTAGTTAACATTTCCCAGCTCTCAGCAGCTCACATTATCCTCCTCAGCGTGCAGCATACAGGAGTCTACTCAGTATCTTTGCAGTAGGAATGCAGCTTTGATTGGAGAAATTCCTGGGAAAACTATCTGCTGCTGACATGTTCTGACTGCTGGATTCTTGATTCTGAGAGGAGATTATGAAGGCACAAAGGTTTATTGAGTTAGGGTGATGACTAGGACTAAAATCTTTTAAATGCTTTTTTAATTAGAAAAGCTTTCCTGTAGCCCTTACAAAATCCAGCAGTATTTTTGACAATACTTCTGAATGCTTTTGTCTGTGTATTGATAAACTTAAGTACTGCGATGCTTGCTATGCAAACATTTTTTTTACTTAACCTTTGTTTTAAAATCCTTTCCCACCTTAGGAAAATAATAGAAAAAATGACTCATCTGTTCAAAGTGCTTCCCTGTAGTTGAGACTGAAACACTTCCTAACATATGGTCTTTAAAAATAGCCTGGAATATACAGTAGCAAGCAAAGTAAATCAAAGATCATAAGTTAACATCCACTTTTGATAGGATGAAGATAGAATCTCATCTTGGCATTAGAACCACTCTGTTTGTGCTTGATTGCATAACCTGAAATATGCAAGAAATCATGACCATGGTGATTATCTGGTGAGCCTTTTCACGCTCTTTGCGTGTTTGCGTGCTTTCCTCCAGGTGCTCCATAGTCCAAAGACATACTGGTAGGTTGACCGGCTTCTGGGAGAACTGGTGTGTGTTTGTGTCTGCGGCTGCCTGTTGCTTGCCTTGATTGGCTCCAGCTCCCTTGCAACCCTGAGGTGGATGAGTGAAACGGTTAAAAAATGAATGAATGGACCTGAATGCATAAATGAAACTTATTAGGTTATATATCGAGTACGTCTGTACTACATACAGAGTTCTCAATATGGATACTGGCATCGTTAACCATAGCATGGACTGCAGTGTTCCGTGCAACACTTGGAGCCCTAACACTTAAGAGACTTTGAGGAAATTGAACTTCATCCTCCATGAACATGCCATTCTCTGGTTTGGGAGCTCCCGTGGATGTGCCCCTAGACTGACCTCTCTGGCCACACCTCTGTGCGGTAACCAAGGCCCTTATCTCTTGTCACCAAAAAGGACAAATAAGCATGTTGATACAGTTCAGTGTGCAGCCAGCACATACCTTTGAAAAGATACGTGCAGAGTCAGCTGGTGTCTGTAGCAGCAGGATGAGAGCAGTGTGGCTCACGTTGGTCAGTAATCCAGCAGGCTCTGGGGGGGGGATGCGCTGTTCCCATCAAAGCAGGGGTTCATAGTGCAGGTTTTGGAAATGTGGAGGAGCGTTGGAATTGGCCGTCTTATTCCTTAATTATTCCCAGTGCACCGGGGACGGGGTGCCTCATCATGGCGGTGCTTGTTCGTGTTCGTAGTGTTTGTGAGGGAGATCTTCAAGGACACCGTGCTGCATGGGTGATGAGCCCCGCAGTCTCCAGTGCTCACTGCAGCTGCCTTAATATGAAAAGCGTTCTTAACGAACGTTCAGGAGGGGCGACTGTCTCTGAACTTTACCGGAGGAGGTGGGCGTGGTGCAGACTCCATTTAAAGCCATCATTAAGTTTCACTCGGTTTGTCTGAAGTCTCTCTGCCTTACGTAATAGTGAGAAACTGATGGTATTTAACCCAAGACTTGCAAGTCATGTTGACATCTGCAAGGAATATGGCAGTTTATTCTATAAAGAAAATGTAACCCTAAAACATCTGGACAAGCCCTCCATATTTTGTTCTAGGCATAGGATGATCATTTTAATACCTTTCAGAAAATGTTTACCTGTATTTTAAATCGTTTTTTTCTTATAGTTATATATAGTTAAGACTATCAGAAATAGGATCGCGTGGAGAGACTGAGTGAACCTCATTTAGGCTGTTATTACATGTTGTGCTCTT